CAGCCTTCCACAGGCCACCCCAATGTTTGAGCAAATGCTTTAAACATTACAATTCAAGTTCTGGCAAGTCCCTGCCTCTGGCCCCCCAACCCAACAGGTTACCAACCAAAAGTACCTCTCATGCGGAAATCCTACCCTGCTCCACCTCCCCATTGCCACACACACACATTCAGATTTCCTGAGCACCTACTGTGTGCCAGGCTCCTTCCCTCGGAGCCCTCATTTCAGTGCTTACTGACATGAGTACAAATTCCCCTAATGAACCATAAAATGACTGGGAGAGAGGGCACGAATATTTTTATTCATTCTAGTGCCTTTTAGAGAAAAATATAGCCAACACACAGAAGCATGAGTCCATATGTCACTGTTCAGGATGAGGCCAAAGCTGGTGTTTAAGTTTTAAAAAAAAAGTTGATTTAAAGAAAATTGCTCAAAGCCATGGCCAGACACATGACATTGGAAGACAATTGGCTAAAGACTGGAAAACTGACTCTTTAAGACTTTGAAGGAAACTGAGGCTCCAAGAGAGACCCTGTCCTACCAAAAACCCAGCTCTCATGAGGCAGGCCAGGCCATCCACCTCCTGCACCCACGCCCTTTCCACAGCACAGCGAGTGGCACCCAGACACCACCGCCTCTGGGTGAGAGGTCGCTGCCAGGAACTGCCAGCTTCTTGTCTAGAGGGCAGCTGAGTTCCAGAAAGGCATGGCAACTGCCCAGGTCAGCAAGAGGCCAGCCTGGCCCAGGCCCCGGGCTGTGTGTGAGGCCTCACCACTTGGCATAGCCACCACCCTCTGGTAAATACATCCGTATCTGACACCGTAAAGCAGAGGTCCTCAAACTTTTTAAACAGGGGGCCAGTTCACTGTCCCTCAGACATTCCACACATGCGCACTGCGGGCCCGGGACGAGTCGGCTGCTAAGCAGGACAGGCAGCGGCGGCAAAAACACCCGGCGGGCCAGATAAATGTTTTCGGCGGGCCAGATAAATGTTTTCAGCGGGCCGCATGTGGCCCGCGGGCCATAGTTTGAGGACCCCTGCCATAAAGAATTGAGTCTTTTGACCTGACCGGTTTGGCTCAGTGGATAGAGCATCGGCCTGCGGACTGAAAGGTCCCAGGTTCGATTCTAGTCAAGGGCATGTGCCTTGGTTGCGGGCACATCCCCAGTAGTGGGTATGCAGGAGGCAGCTGATCCGTGTTTCTAACTCTCTATCCCTCTCTCTTCCTCTCCATAAAAAATCAATAAAATATATTATTAAAAAAAAAGAATTGAGTCTTTTATGATGTTGCTCTAGAAATGACTTAACCACAAGGAACTTGTTTAATGTACAGTTGACTTTTCTCTAATACTCAAGAATCCTGGTGTAGTGAAACAAATCTAGCCTGCAAGTGGTTTTTATGGTCATGAAGTTTTTATGAATACTAAATTTAACAATGAATGAAGTTTAATTATATCAATTAGGCAGGTGTTCATTTCCATCCTGGCGTTTTCTTTTCAGATGTTGAAGTCAATAAATTGCCTTTCCGGTCTTAAAACATTTGGGGCGTAGCTCAAAGGCCTGAAGGCCCTGGCCCCGTGTCTCCTGGGCTAAAGTGACTGCCAAAGGCAGAGCCAAGGACTTACCCGGACAGACGCCACCTGCTGGCTGGGTATCACAACTTCTGGGACGATCACTACAAGTGTTGATAGGAAGGGGTCAGTGGGGTCAACCTGGCCTAGTGCTGACCACTAGCTTAGCTCGTCCCCTCGAAACCTGCCCTCAACCTCTCTACCATCAGAGACCCCCGTTACAACCACCCCTGAGCCATTAGTGAGCAGGTCATCCATCTCCCACTGTGCAGATGCTGAAACTCAGACCCAGAGAGGGAGGGCCTGGTCCAGGGCCCTCAGGGCACTCAGAGAGGAGTGGGGGCAGAGCTGGGATAAACACTCAGGTCCCCCCTCCTGTTGGAACCTTGGGAGAGAGGCAGGATTGGAGGCCATCCTCCCTTTCTAAGGGTCCACCTGGGCCTAAGGAGGGTCTATGGGAGTTGCCCAAGACAGTCCTGGCAGTGGGGAGGGAGCGGGTTGCTGCTTACCGAAAGTCTCACTCTGGGGCAGAAAATAGGGCGCATTGTCATTTATGTCCTCGATGGTGATGGGGAGGCTTCCTAGGAAACAAGGTTGGCTGGCTCTGGTCTCTAGGCAAAGGTGCTGCCCAAAAAGCCTGGGCCTCAGCCATGCTCCCAGCAGCCTCTCTCCCATGCATCACCCAGTCCCCTCTCCCGCTCCTGACCTGGGATGCCCAGTCGATCTCCTCTGGCCTTTGTGGGAGGGAGTATCCTTCCCAGCCCTCAGAGAGCAGTGGACCAGGATTGAGCCCAACCCAGGTATCGGTCACCCAACCACAACATTCTACTGTCACTTACCAGCTGTGTAAGTTAGGTTATTGAACCTCCCACTCTGTGCCTCAGTTTCCTCATTTATAAAGTTATATGGGGGTCACCGAGCTCATGGGTTGTGTGGAAGTGAAATGAAGAAGCGCTTACCAGGTGACCGGCATAGCCCTGGCTAAAGTAAGGACGGGGCATATGCCTGCTATTAATATGGTTATTTTGCTTCTTAGGTCAAAGGTGGGACACAAGTACACGTCTGACTGCCGTGTGCTCTGTCCTTACACCGCCCCACAAAATGAGAGCATTGAGTGCCATCTGTGTGCCAAGCACTGTGCTAAACGCTTTACATGCGTGTTCTCATTTGACCTGCACAGCCAGCCTGCCACCGACTGCACCTGACAGATGGGGAAGGCGCCACAGCTCTCCCGGTGACACAGCTGGCAAGAGCCAGAGCAGGATCTGAACCCAGACCTCGCAGGTTACAGCCCAGCGCTCTTTCCCACGGCCCCTATGCAGCACCTGCCAAGCCCAATGTGCCAGACCACCTCACCATTGTCACTGTAGGCCTGGAAGCGGGGGTCCGTTGCGAGGTCATAGGCCCGCACGACCAGGGTGACCAGGTCACAGGTCTCATAGTCGATGGCCTCGCTCTGATTGATGAGCACAGAGCCGTTGGCCAGCACAGAGAACCAGCCGCGGCACAGGCTGCCCACATCCACGCCGGCCTTGGTACAGATGACGTTCACAAGCTGCACCTCCAGCTGGGCATCGGTATCCACATCCATGGCGACCACCTCAGCCACCTGGCCGTGCTGCGAGCCATTCTCAGCCACCTGGACGCCCCGGAGCGAGGCTGAGCTCAGGGTAGGCGGCTCGTCGTTCACGTCCTC